GTTGTTCAGCCTAGAGAAGAGAAGGCTTCAGGGAGACCTTATTGCAGCCTATCAGTACTTAAAGGGGACTTATAAAAAAGATATCAGCAGACTTTTTAGCAGGGCCTGTTGTGACAGGACAAGGGGGGGTGGCTTTAAACTAAAGGGAAGTAGATTTAGACTAGATATGAGGAAGAAATTTTTTACGCTGAGGGTGGTGAAACACTGGAAGAGGTTGCCCAGAGAGGTGGTGGATGCCCCCTCCCTGGAAACATTCAAGGTCAGGTTGGACGGGGCTCTGAGCAACCTGATCTAGTTGAAGATGTTCCTGCCCACGGCAGGGGGGTTGGACTAGGTGACCTTTAGAGGTCCCTTCCAACCCAAACTATTCTATGATTCTATGACTTCTAAAGGCACGAATGTATTTGTTTTCAGACAAAAATGGCATTTAGACAAATCAGTCTAGTATGCTAATAAAGGGATGCTTAATAAAAGTGAATTGCTATTAAAAAGGCTTCATTGGAGCTCCCTGAACTGATCTGACGTAGCACGTTTTGCTTGTTTCCTCCATTTGGGATCTCTCAGTTTACTTAATTATTATGACAACCAGAAGGTTCAAGGTTAGAGGAGAATTATGCACCTCTCAGCTTTTAGAGAGACAGCTGTGTCATGGTCTGCAGAAGACAGCAAATTACTTCTGGTAGAGCTCCTGGCAGGGCATTAGAGCAGCAGGATCCTCCTCTAAGGATTTACTGTAAAACATCAGAGTCACAGAGTGGGCCCAGATATTTCAGGAGGAGACCCACTGGATGAATGAGAGGAAGCAGGTGGGAACTAGTGGTTTCCCTTTTATCTCATGGACTAAATTCACACATGCAGGAGAAGTCCCAAGTCTACTCTCTGGCTTTTAAAAGCAGTTTTGAAAATATTTATGGTCTGGCATTTTTCATGTGCCTGCTGTGCCTTATTCAGAAATCAGCCTGTGAATAATAAGCCCAATATTTCTCTTTGCAGTTGGTATGCTGGTAATATCTCCCGTGCCCAGTCTGAGCAGCTGCTCCATCAGAAGGTCCTACATATCCTTTATCGCTTGTATATAAACAACCATGGAAATGTTTCTGTGTCTGTTGTCTTTGCTATACTGTGTAGCTAGAGGATGCTGATGCTCTTCAAAATGCTGTAGTATTACAGATTGCTAGAATTCTTGTGCTAACTTGGTATTGATAAACAGATCTCCAAAAATGCCTCAATGCATTAATGGCTCTTCTATATATATGAACAAATGATGCACCTCTAAAATACGCTTGGAACAAAGCCACATTGAGTGGCATTTCCCCTCAAAGCTCTGCCTTTTGGTTTTACCTCTAGGCCTGTGTTGTTTGCTCCAGCGTGGCTCTTTCTGCAGGTCAGTCTAGAGGAGTCCTCTGTGATGGTTTTATGATATACAAATGTGGAGTAAAAGAAGTTGACGCAGACAACCCTGAGCAAATTCAGTGCTATGCCCACTGAGCGTTGGCTGGATGCAGCTGACTAGGAGCAAGGATGGATAGCACCGTAGGTCTAGTCAGGTGTACAAGTCTTTACAGCAGACGACAGAAGGACTTGACCATGTACCTTCCTGGAGGAGACCCAGCCTCAGCCATGCTTTGCGTTTGAGTGTGCTGTGTAAACAAGTTTTCCTCTTGTGTCTTGCTGCTTTTTCACAGCCAGTCTTATTGGTACTCAGCCACTAACAACTGTGATATAACCCGACCCTTCGGGAGCCTTGGCTCAGTGTCCTTTCTCTTAGACCTGCACCATAGGTTCAGGAATGAAATTCAAGTGTGGCAAATCACTGGAGACAGGCAGTTATGTCCCAGTCCCAAAAGGTGCTGGGTACTCCTGACTCCAGTTAACTTTAAGGGGACACGAAGTTTCCTTTGAACTTCACAGCAATGAACCTTGGCCTGTATGTGAGGTTCTAGATGTCTTCTTTCCTCCCTGCAATAGCCATTCCTAGCACATTAGAGGCGTAGCTGTTAAATGAACTCTGAAAACCAGAATTTCCAGCCCTGTATGGTAAACCATTAACAGAAGTAAAAGTGGACAGTGAAAGTCAGGACTGAAATACCACATAAAGACTAAAAATAGTCCAAATATAATAGTGCGGTGAAAAATCTTTCTACTTATTCAGTAACTCAGAAATGCTTTGGCAATAGAACATACATCTGTCTAATGCATTATGTAAAGCAACTGAGTGTGGTGGATAGAGCTCTTATTCAGATGGGATGTATGTGGCAGTGCTTGGGTCTTATAACGTGTACCGCCTCTGGAGGAGATGTGAGGAAGGAGACGGGGTTAACAACTCTCCATCTCCCCAGTTATAAATCTGCACCAAAACAGAATTGCAGGCTACTTGCTTCATGTCTGGGCTGGGCTACAACTCACCTAATTTTAAACATTTACAGTGGGATACCACAACCATTTGCCTAGACCCTCTTTTTAGTGGAGAGAAATAAATATTTCTAAGGCATAATTCATCTTGTCCTAATGTAGTCGTTACAAGAGGTCAGATGAGTCATGTCTCCTTCTCTCCTTTGTGGACATTACAGTGTAAAAGCCTAAAGTTCACTGAAATGAATCCCAACCTCATTGTTGCTTGTAACTTTTTTTTTTTTAATTAGGGGAAAAAAGGTGCTTTTATGGTTCGGAAATCTAGCCAAGCA